CATATCTTTCCATGCTGTGCAGTGAAAACCTAAAGAATAAAATAAAAAAGATGTGGCAGGCCTGTAAAATTAGTTATAGAATATGAACAATACATGAAAGTCATGTCTTAAAGCAATATGAAAAAATCCAACAAAAAGTTGACACAGGACCTGCATCTGACCCTTCAGTTGATCAAACTAGTGTTTTCTAAAGCCTAATAATAAGCCTAATATTCAAGACTAACTGAAGAAATTATAAGAAGGCTTGCCCAAGTGAATTCAGGCTATGTTGAAGAATAAAGGTGGTCAGACCAAATATTAACTTTCAAGTTTGTTAGAGCTATAAAAACTGTTGAAAACACAGTTTTGCCTTATATACTGTTTTTGCCCTACTTATATAATATGTTTCTGTGTGTGGCAACACGTTTCAATAAATTGCTGCACCTGTTTCACATTTTCCTAACAAAATATAAAGAAATGAGGGCTTTTGTACAGCACTGCATGTTCTTTAATGCACATTTTCTTAAATTTAATATGGCATTTGATGATAAAGGGTAACACCGCCTTTATCATATGGTTGATACTATATCAGTAAAGCAAAATAGGCTCGAGTGTGTAATGCAATAGTTCGCTAGATGGTTTGCATCTGTTTTCTTTTAACTAAAACAGGGCAGCTAGCGAGACCTCACAGAAACATCAGAGACTCAGCCTCACAAAAAGTTCTACACACAATGTATGTTTGGCAAGCTGTAACATTTATAAATTACACACGTCTCTCAGGCTTCTGCATGCCGGCTAAGCTTGTAGACTCCTGCGAAAAGTACACACACACACACAAAACACACTTCATATGGCCTCTTACTTTGCCTTGAACGTCAGGGTGATGACTGGTTTGTGACATCTAGGTAAGAGTCTGAATCACAGACGCTGTGTAAACTGGTATGATTTACATAAAATACCCATATACACATTTCGGTTAATGGCTTGCAGACTTAAATGCAAACATATGATCGTGTTGCATTAAAAAAAAGCATATTGACCTAAGGCAAGGCCATGAGTTGATTTGGGATTGCAGCTCAAACAGAAGCGTGTGTTTACCTGTGTGCCTGTTTTACAGTGTTTACAGTAATCATACACGTTAAGTGATAATAAGTAGATACACATTTCAATGCATGTTCAAAGTGCCAGAATTGAATAGCTGGTATGAAGTAGCTGTACTTTCTGGGCTTTCAGTGGAAAATCTCATAAAGCGAAGCTGTGAAGGTTTTTGCTTTTACAAGTCCTTTGGGCGTAAAAGGTACAGAAAATCACAGGTACAGAAAATTGCACGTTCACAAAAATACTCCAAACACACACTTAGACACAAAAACAGCAAGAAACACAGAAAAAGGCCAAAAAAAAAAAATCTGTTGTAGAGTATCTGTTTCAATTTAAGTATTTGGGGGAAAGTTTTCGAAAGCTGTTATGCAGCACTCTCTGATTATTCTTCTCTTTCCCTCCTAGGCTCTCTCTCCATCCTTAAATCCCTAGACCGTGAAGAGCAAGAAATCTTCAATCTCACTATTGTAGCAGAAGATCATGGAATACCGCAGCTTTCCACCTCTCAGGTGCTGTGCGTGCAGGTGATTGACGTGAATGACGAGGCTCCAGTGTTCCTGCGGGCAGAGTTCGAGGCACAGGTGATGGAAAACCAAGGACCAGGAGCCTCAGTGTTGACAGTAACGGCCACTGACCGGGACCAAGGTTGGTTTAAAAGTTTTATTACAGTTTTAAGTTTAGAGTATGTGCAGTCAATAAGAAGAAGTGAGCTTAAAGGGCAGGGAGGATGTGCAGAAATATGTTCTGTTTGCTGCAGAATATATCTGCAATTTATGTCTTCAATTTGTCCACTCAACTTGCTAGACATCTAAAAACATGGCAAGTGAACACTAGCAGGATATATGAGGTTATAATGAAAGTGAATTTTCTTTTAAATAATTGAGACAGAACATATGAACCTATAACAAATAAATGAGAGTTTAAGAGACTCAGCTTAATCTCAGTCATGACTGCTGAGCTGAGAGGTGGGAGAAGTGCTTGAGTTGGAGAGCAAGAGACTAAGATAGACCAATCATGACTTGACAAGACCACTTTATCTCAGTCACATGACTGATGGGTGACATTTTTCTCACTGCTGTTTAATGTTTTAAGTGAACTAGACTAGTAGGAATGTTAAAATAAGCCAACATAAGCATTAGCTGCAAAAAGTTTGTTTTATTTAGTAAAAGTAAAAAGAAATCAATTAGTAAAAAAAAGAAAGAAAGAAATACTTTACAAAAATAAGGTAAAATTCACCCAATATTGCTCCATCTATTCTGATTGGTTTTCTTTAATCTCAACACTTCTCCATAAGTTATCAGTTTGTATTTATCCAGCTTCCTTACTGATATAAACCTCAATAACAACAACAAACCTATTTCTAATGACAGAATATATACACTGTGTAAAATACGAGTTATTATATCATCATGTTTTAAAACACTAAACACTAACTAAAATCATGAAGTAGTAACTTGCTAAACAAAGACATTCACTGAAATTCATCATTTTCTTCTTCTTTATATTTCATGAGTATCGTATCTTTATACCTTTTTTTTTAAGTGCTCTGTGTTTATGTTAAGTGAGCTTGTATTGAAATGAACTACTCTAAACTTTGAGGTGCGAATTTGAGGGGACCACCTATGGGAACAAAGGCTCCCAGTGACAGAACATATGACAGAGTGTTATGTAAGCTACTAGCTTGATACCTGTGCAGCTGCAGCTTGGATTGTATTTTAAAATTAAATAAAATGTGTCCTAAAAATGAGCCATTTTCCGATTGCTAATACATGGCTCCTTTGACAAAAACGTCTTTAAAAAGTAAGATCTCGTTTAGTTCAGGAAGAGCAAATTGTACAAATTGAAGACAGTTGTTATTTTTGGCCAAAGCAATAATGCCAAGAAAGTCACGATATGGAAGGAAAAGAAGGTTCCAAGTTTCAGTGCTGGTTTAATGAGTAAGAAGGAAGCCGATCAGCCCCCAAAACCATAGAACTGAACCACACACATAAATGGTTTTGAGAAACCAAATCTTTTTAAATCAATCACATGCAGATGCTAACGATAATGTGTGGTCACAATCTTCATCCAGAGCCTTATAAGTTTACGGCACCGGCACTTGCAGCTGTAATTCTTTGAAATTACTGCCTTATTACATTTAATGTAGCCAAATCCATTTTGTGCCTTTATTTCTATTTGCGTCTTGTTTTTTTCATGAAGGTTCTAATGGACAAATAACATACGGAGGAGTATCAGAGGAAGGCTTTATAATCAACCCTGTGACAGGAGCCATCACCACCACAAAGGAACTGGACACAGAGCTACAGGATCACTACACTCTTACAGGTATTAAATCCCTTACGAGTTTATTTAAATGCTTTACTTAATGTGTTCGTTTAAGCATACATCAGCTCAAACTTGCTTTACTCACTCTAACATCTCTTTTATTTCTGTCTCATATTAGTATATGCCAGGGATGGAGGCCTCCCTCCTAACTTTGCCAAGACTGTAGTCCGAGTGGAGGTGCAGGACGTGAATGACAACGCTCCAATCTTTGCAAAGCCGTTTTATGGACTTGAAGTGCCAGAGAACCAGGCTCCTGTAGAGCTTTGCATCCTCAAGGCCACAGACCCTGACTCAGGTCCTGGTGGAGAGCTGGAGTACAGAATTGCTGGTGAGAAACTGCATTGTGTGTCCAATCCAAGTATTTTATTAGATTTTAAAGAGTGATTTAGGCCACCACAATTGCTGTAATTGCTGTTTACTGGGAGAAACATTACATTTTTGTCATTTTTGTTGTGTTTTTTAGAGGCCAGAAAATCATAAAGTTTGAATTTAGAGATTTTAATGTGTTACTAAAATTGACTCCTGGACCCATTTTTGCTGATATTGTACCTACTCTATTGTAAGAGTTTAGTCCTGACTTGGAGATAGGTTGTATAGAGATTTTAGACTAATTGACCCTATTGTGTTTTACTAGACCCTGTTTCCCCCATATCTCAAATAAAACCTGCACAGAGTGGCCAAATGTTTGCTCCTGATATAGTCTTATCAAAAGCACTACTACCTCTCTAGAGAGAAAATCTGGACTAAGTGCAGAGCTGGCACAGATGTCTCCATTCCTCTCCATCTTTCAGCATTGAATTCAGGTTGGTTTTTTTGGGGGTTTTTTCTATCCACTTCTTCTAGCTGGGGACCCTGATGGAGATTTTCAACTCCACGCCAGCACAGGAGCCCTGTCGACGTCTCGCGGGCTCGACAGGGAGACGCATGCAAAGTACACTCTGGAGGTGGTGGCCACAGACCGAGGCAGCCCTGCTCTCAGTGCTACTGTCGCAGTGGAGGTCAACGTGCTGGACGTCAATGACAACAACCCCGTCTTCAGCAAAAGTAGCTACTCGGTGGAAATTTCAGAGGATGCTACAGAGGGAGCACAGGTTCTTGAGGTGGGATCAAAATGGAAATAAATATATTCAAAAACTGGAAATACTTGAAAAAAAGTTGTTAATAATCTGACTTTTTTTTGTATGTATCTAGGTTTCAGCCACCGATGCTGATGAAGACCTAAATGGGAAGGTTCTGTATTTCCTCAGTCAAGAGGCGCATGGCGCATTCAGTGTAGATGAGCACAATGGTCGCATCACCACGTCAGCCCCTCTGGATCGCGAAAAACTGGCGTCATACAGCTTCCAGGTTTTTGCTGTTGACCTTTCACCAGCTGCACCTAGGAACTCATCTGCTCAGGTAAATGAGAGGTTAGCTGTTTCAGGTGTTTATTGGGCTTGAATTTATGATCTGAAATCTGATTTCAGACATGACGTCTTCCTTACAGGTGACGGTAACTGTCCTGGATGTCAACGACAACACCCCCTTCTTCATCCAAGATCCACTGGTCATTGAAGTGTCCAACAGGCGTTCCCAGCGGGTTTTAGCTACAATGAAGGCAGAGGACAAGGACTTTGGAGCAAATGGTTCTGTGTTTTACCGTTTCGCCACCCCAGTGAAAGGCTTCAGTATCAACTCCCTAACTGGGGAGATACAGGCCACTGAGCGACTGGCGGACCTCACCCAAGCACAAAGGACCCTGATAGTGGAGGCCATGGACCAAGGCAGCCCAGCTCAGTCGACACAGGGTGTTGTGATCATTTATGTGAAGGAGGTGGAATACAGCGGAATTCGTTTCTCGAGGAATGCTAGAGATGTCAGCATACAGGAGAACGCAGCAAAAGGTTGGGCAGTGTTATCAGAAATACCAAGTAGTGCACCAGGTTTTTATTCTCCTGTATCATTTTTTAAAAAAAATAAAAAAAAAAATTTTTTTTCTCTGCTCCACTGAAAAAATTCAGGCACCACTGTGGCTCAGGCTCAAGCTCAGTACCCGGATGGTTCTCGTAACGGTATCAGCTATAGCCTCTTCAGTGGGAACAGAAAGCAAGCCTTCAGTATCAGCACTTCGACAGGTAACCCTCACCCTTTAAGTGTTTCTTAAAGTATGTCTCATGCAATGTGTTATCAAGATGGTTAATTAGTATGAGGATATTGTGATCTTCATTTTTTAATCAAATCGTCCTACTGTTTGTTCCACAGGTGAAATAAGGGTGCGGACCTCCAATGAACTAGACTTTGAAGACACCCCAAGACTCCGTCTTGTTGTGAAGGCTGAAACTGTGTCCTCTACATCTTACATGGCTTTCAACTTGATCCTGCAGGATGTCAATGACAACCTTCCTCGCTTCCAGCTGCAGAATTATGTGGCCTACATGAAGGAAGCGCAAGGATATGAAATGCCAATCATACAGGTGCTCACAAATGTTAAAATAATAATAATAATAATACAGAGTTACAGAGATATTTGGTCTATTGGAGTTCTACAAAGGCTACAAATAAATTTCCTCCTCTTTGTTTCCCTTTCTGTCCTCTCTTTCCAGGTTGTTGCTGAGGATGTGGATCAGGGCCAAAATGGTCAGGTGACCTACTCCATCCAGTCATCAAGCATGAGTGGCCTCTTCAAGATTGATCCTGTGACAGGAAGCATTACCACAGCAGCCATCATGGACCGTGAGATCTTTACTCAAACCAAGTAAGAAGTTCAACTTTTACTTACTTTCTTGCTTTTGTAACCAAAATGTGATCAGTCTGAAACAGAATATTCACATAATTTTCAATTCAGTTAAATTCATTTCTATTCATGTAGCACCAAAATGTAATAACAGAGGACAGTTTGGATTATCACCTTCTCTTCTCACCCACAGGCTGGTAGTTACAGCAACTGACAGAGGAAGTCCACGGCTCGCAGGTTCAGCCACACTGACGGTCATTATTGTTGACCAGAATGACAACAGTCCCACTATTCCCATGCACCAGGAAATCCGCATCCCAGAGAGTAAGTTTTGCTTAATTTAAAAGGTATTGTTGGAGTTTCTGGTTAACACCCAGTGCTGACATTTACAAACAGTAAGGATCATCATCAAACAAATCATGCCTGTGCAATATATGTGGTGTGTTTGAATGCAACTAATAAGTTCATTTCCACTTTCTTTCTCTGTTAGATACTTTGATAGGCACTGAAATCACTCTCGTGACGGGCAACGACGTCGACTCCAGTCCTGCCCTCTCCTACTCTTTACAGCTAGACCCAACAGCACTAGGCAAGTTTGGGATTCACCGCTATAGTGGAGGCGTGTCACTCACTGCCCCTCTGGACTTTGAGGAGAAGACGTGGTACACCCTGACTGTCAGAGCCACTGACAGCCAGCACCAAACTGAGGCCAACATTACAATTTTGGTGGAAGATATTAATGACAATGCACCAGCATTTACACATGATCTTTATCAGGTATGGTACCCACTGCTCAGACTCAGGTATTTTCTAACAATCCATACAGGCACCTAAAGAGAAAGTTGCTTGAATGTGTTTTTGTCTGAGGTATTCACAAATTATAAGATCTTAAAACAAAGTGATTTATTTTCAGAAACAGTTTATTTCTAGTAGACAACATTAAATGCACTCGTGGGCTTGAAACACATTGAATACACATTTGTACACTTCTAACTTGCACACAGTGGGTGTGATAAAAATTTAACTGCCTAATATTAACTTGGGGACCATTGTGGAGATGAGCCTGTAAAAAATATACTACTCTGTCTCAGGAAATGACCTCAGTATAAGGAAAAACACATACAGGATAAAGGAACTACATTATAAAAAGTGTTTTCCCCTCTGTGAAGGCAGTGCCTGTTGCCCTCCACACAGTGAGTTATAGGTTTATATGATCCAATGCTGGGGCGTTTGTTTCCTGTATCCAAATGTTAGAATTAATGTCTCTTTTTCTCTTAGGTTACTCTTCCTGAGCACACACCACCAGGAAGTGCAGTTATCACAGTAACAGCGACTGACAGGGACTCCGGCGAGAACGGCAGGATCACCTATAAAGTGATGTCGTCAACCAAGGAGGGTTTCTACATTGACCCGAGCAATGGTAAAGATAAGCTTGGCTGCTTCCTGCTCTATTTTATTTCCCTGCACTCATTTTAATAACACTTTTGGCACAATGAGTAAGTTCATCTCATTTCCTTCGGATTTCAGGAACTCTGTTCATCAATCACAGAGTTGAGTTTGACCCCGAGCGCCCATCAGTCAGCATCGTCATTGAAGCTCGCGACAGAGGCCTGCCCCCGCTCTCCTCTCTTACTACAGTCCAAGTTCAAATATCCGACGTCAACGACAATGCTCCTGTGTTTCACCAGTCGGAGTACAGGTCAGTCTGTGCTCATTAGAATTTGGACATATTGAGGTGCAACCCGAACAGCCGCCTTCACATAATACTCTTTGGTTGGTTTGCAGGGCCACGGTTTCTGAAGACACGATCCCAGGGTCGACAGTTCTCACTTTTGAAGCCTTCGACAGCGACCTCTCTCGAGAAAACTGCGGCTTCGACTTTGCCATTGCCAGCGGGAACGAAGGAAACGCATTCCAGATCGAAAGCAGCGTGCGCTTCCTGGAGGGACGGGGCTTTCAGACGGTTGGGACTCTGCTGTTGGCCGAGGGAGTTGACTTTGAAACCAAGTCACTGTACAACCTCACTGTGGTAGTGTCAGACCGCGGCGTGCCACAGAGGAGCTCTAGTGTTGCTGCGGTGATAACGATCGGTGATGTGAATGATAATCCTCCAGCGTTCACCAGAGCAGAATACACCGTGTCACTGATTGAGGGTGCTACCGCTGGGACTGAGATCATACGACTGACTGCTACAGGTGGGTGTTCCTTCTTTCATCCAGTCACCTGTAAATGTTTCTCGCTGTCTTGTTTGGTTTCTCAGTTATATACTTGAACTCTGTTGTTGTATTTTTTAACAGACCCTGACTCAACTCCTAATGCTGAAGTCCAGTATTCTATCAGCTCTGGGAATGAGGTGAACTTATTTACCGTGGACCCGTGGAGTGGAGCCTTAAAGCTTCAGCGAGCACTCGATCGCGAGCACCAGCCCACACATGTTGTCATTGTTCAAGCCACAGATGGACAGGGTCACTTCGCCCTAGCTCCAGTCATTGTTGAGGTCAAAGACGTGAATGATAACCATCCGTTCTTCCCTGTGGATGTCCTGATAGCCAGTATCAGAGAAAACCAGCCAGCCAACTCAGCGGTGACTGTTCTGCACGCAATAGACCATGATACGGGGGTTTTTGGCCAGCTGAAGTATTACATGTTGGAGCGGTCTGGGGCAGGAAAAGAAAGCTTTGCTGTGGACCAGAACTCAGGAGAAATCAGAAGCAAAATTCCATTTGACTTCGAGAAGGTCAACACCTTCAGTTTTGTCGCAGTGGCAGCGGATTCAGGCAACCATTCAGCCACTGTGACTGTACAAGTGTTTGTCACAGGTGAGGATGAGTATGACCCACTCTTCACATCCTCTGATTTCTCCTTTGAAGTTCCAGAGGGAGCCAAGAAAGGACAAAGCATTGGCCAGGTCCAGGCAAGTGATGAGGATGAAGGGGTGGATGGTATTGTTCTTTATTCTCTTACTGCCAGCTCTCCATATTTTGATGTAAACAAAACCACTGGGGTGGTCTTTCTCAAGCTGGACAGTTCAGGCAGCAGTAGCAGCAGTGGGTCGGGTCGGAGTAAACGGGAAACCAGAGTTATGACTTTAGATGTGCAAGCTCACAGCCCTCTAGATACATCTCGCACTACTACAGCCGAGGTCTCCATCGATGTGACAAACACCAACTTTGGCCTGGCCGCTGACGTCAACATCCTGGTTATTAGCATAGTTGCTGTGTCTCTTGGTTTTATCATATTGCTTGTGGTCATGGCAGTGGTTGTGTTCCTGGTCAAGTCACGCAGGAAAAAGAAAGGCCAGGAGACAGGAAACAGAACTGTTGCCTCGGGAACTGCCTTGCAAAAACTGGATGATTGTAGCCCTGGGCCAGGGGGAGAAAGGATCTACCACCAGGCCTTGCCAGGCTATGCTGGTGACCAAGGTGGTGCTGGTGGCGGCCCCTACACTAGAGGAGGGTCTTTGGATCCTTCTCACTCCAGTGGTAGAGGATCAGCTGAAGCAGCAGAGGATGATGAGATCAGGATGATAAATGAGTATCCCCGCGTTGCATCCATCACCTCATCAATGCAAGAGCACATCTCTGCCAGAGGACCAGACTCTGGAATCCAGCAGGATGCTGACCAGCTTTCTGATATTTCCTGTGAGCCTGCAGCTTTGGAGGGCAGCACTTGGTTCAAAGGAAAGAAGCTAGGTGGCAGCCTCAGTGGGACCTTACTCTCTGGACAGCTCCCGGTCTACAGGGATGAGGGAGGTAGTTACCTAGGAGTAGGCCGTGGTCTCAATATTTCCCTCCCCAAGGATTATGCCTTTCCGGAGGATGGTAAACCTTCCGTAGATGGTTCCCTCACAGCTATAGTTGCCAGTGACGAGGAGCTCCGTGGAAGCTATAACTGGGATTATCTACTCAACTGGTGCCCTCAGTTCCAGCCTCTTGCAAATGTCTTCACAGAGATTGCCAGGCTGAAAGATGAAACTGCTCAGCAAAGTCAGAACCCTCGCCAGCCCTTCCAGCCCAAGCCCAAAATGGATCCTAAACCTAGAATTGACCCTCCACCTCTCATCACATCAGTGGCTCACCCAGGAGCCATGTCAGTTCCTCCCAAAGTCCCTGTAATTGGGCGGACATTCCCCCACTTGGCTTCACTCCGCAGGTCCCCCATCAGTCACGAGGGATCTATTTCATCAGCAGCGATGTCACCGAGCTTCTCCCCGTCTCTGTCCCCTCTGGCAGCTCGATCGCCAGCTGTGTCTCCATTTGGAGTCAACCAAGGGCCCTCAGCGTCCATGATCAGCACCAGGGAGCCCTCACTGGAACAGAGTCCCGATCATGAGATGAGAATATAATTGAAACATTTGAAACATGACATTACTATTTAAGGAGAAACTCTAAGACGGACAACCTGAACAAAGCATGACTGACCAACATTTGGATGTTCTTTTGCATGGATCAAAAGAAAGCAAGCAGTGATGGTGTCAGTTTTTTTGTCATTCTCAAAAACATTTGTCTTATTCCACAACAAGAAATCAAGGTTTCTCAAATTCCCCGCTAGTGACATTTGGTGGGCAATACCCACAAAAAATACTTAGCGTCTGTCTCCTGGTAGAATATTTGTACTGCCATTGTGTCGGCAGCTTTGCAGGAATATGTGTGATGGGCTCGACTGCAGCAGCCCACCCATCCACTACAAAATGACGCAGGTCTCCACGAACTGATCGGGGTTAAGAGCCAAATAGAAAATGTGCACTTACCATGCCCTGCAGTCAGAGATCCCTTAGTGTGTAGATAGATAAATGTGTAGTTTTCATGTTACCTCGCTGGCTGGCCAGAGAGCTAAGGACCTCGTTCCTCTCTTTGTGTCTGTGGACTTCTGTTTTTTTACCCTCCAGTATTAAACCCATCTAGTGGCTACTCTGAGAATGGTCTCTGGACACACCCGTCGGATCACATGGACAGACAAACGGTGTGTGTTCACAGAGACACTGATTCATTGATTTGCCAATGCATCGCATAGTGAAAAAACAATTGAGATTATTATTTTTCTCACCTTTCGGACAACACTCGTTTGGATTTAACCTTTATTTTATATTTTTATATAAATTTATGATTTCAGATCCATTATTTCACATGAAGAGGTTATTGTTTTTGAGTATTTGAATATATGTGTATTTGTATGTATGTGGGCTACATTATGTGTACTGTGTGTGTCTCCTAGGTTTATAGAGACTTGTGATTGTTCAGAATTGAGTGACAGGGAGGCGTTTGTGTTTTTAGCATTATTTATAAGAAAAGAGGAATTTCAACCACAAGCTTTGGAAACCATCAGCAGCTCACTTTATGCTGTGTTGAGATTTTTTTTTTGTCAAATTGTTGATCATCCTAAATCAAACACATATAAACCAGATGAAGAAAAATCTGTGATCAGTCTATATTTCCACTTTGCAGCTGTTCAGCACTGTCGTGGCATGCACTTGCACTTGCGCCACGCCGTGACAGAAGATTCCCTTTGTTATTCAGGGACAACTCGGTTTGCTGTTCACCTCTGTGTCTTTCAAAGAAAGTGCTTCCTAAAATCAGTTACATCACTCATTCACCTGAATGCGTTTTACTGTGAAGTTGTTCATCTCAGTACAAAGAAAACAACGATGAACAGGATGAGATTCTCAAATGGCCAAACCCGGAGAGATGTAGCACACGAACCAGACAAGTGGCAACCAAAAGGCTGAATACATGAGCCCTAATGAATGTACAAGGATTTAGCCACCAGTGCTGTTTTTTATGTCTGTGACTTTACACATCGAGAATGTCAGTAGCATGATGAGGTGTTTTACACCAGCCCCCCCCCACCCACACCCACCGCTCAGACTCAGTTTTAGCAATCTTAAAATGTTGTTTTTGTTTTTCATTCTTTATATATACTCATCATCAAACTCATCATTTTAATTGCAGTGATTGGATATCCTGATGTTTTCAAGATTTGGTTTCTACCTCTGTTCTGTGTTCAACCGTGCAAATCCCCATCATGCAAAGCTGGCACCGGTCCAGCTTAAAGTGACTCATGTCACGAGCCCAGCTCCAGCACTACATGCTCTTTGGCTGTCTCAGAAACATTTCTTTGTTTGAGAACCACAGTTTGGAGTTCAGTTTGAGATGACTGCCAGTGACTGATCAGTGGAGCAATGGAAGACAAAAATAAGGAGAAGCTGTATTTCTTTTTTTAAAGCAAATAATAAATTCCTACTGATCTCTTTTGACAAATTGGAGTCGTACTTCATCTTTTTCAGGAGTCAAGACAGCGAGAGGAGAACTGAGAAGCGACTGATCTGAATGAATAATTGCAAAATGTTTATTTCATATGAAGCATAGACATGTTTGCATAGCTGCTAGGGATTTCTGCCTCATTTGGTCATCACACACAGCCTCGCAGCATTTCTTTGTTATTGTTATGTACAGAAGGAGCTAGACATGGATTACGACAAGGCCCAAGAGAAAGAGCCAGAGACAGAAGCTCCTGAGTGTAGGAGAGAAATGCAAGGCCTCGAATGAGAGGTGATGATGAATTACACACGCAGTCTTAAATTTAGAGTCAGCTCATAATCACTTGAACATATCACAGGGGCAATTACACACAGATAAATGCATTCTTCTGATATTAAACAGACAACTGTAGCCCATCTGGCTGCTTTGCAAATGAAACATATAACCCAAACTGTGGCCTTGCCAGAAAAATAAAGGGGCTTGCTGCCCCAGCTTGCATGCTCACCTCCACACACAGCTGTGTGTACAGCCTGCTCTCCCAAGACTCCTTCACTAACCCCACACAACTTCAAAAAATCACAACCACACATGTACTTAGAGGCTACTACACAGTGACACGCATGGCCCAAAACAAATCTGCCCCAGCTGATATTGGCTACGATCCAGCTCCGACAGGCACATACTTGGCTGGTTCTTCAAGCTGCAAAATCTGGGAGAAATCTACGCGGAGCCGAGTGCAGGACAAGAAGTAAGCCAAGTCTGAAATCCATGGTACAGTACTGTTGTGTCATAAAATATTGTTAGACTTTTATGTAGCCGTAACAACATGCAGCATTTAAATATGCTTTAAACTAGATAAAAGAAAGCCCTGTAACCCAAGAAATCTCAGAGTATCAAAACTGAAATAGTAGCTCGTGAAAATAAAAATTAAAAGATGCACAGAATCATCACTGATGTCCATTTGACTTCCTCCTTTACATTTACTCTTCAAATTGATTTAAGGCCCCTCAGAACTTCACAGGTATACAATGAACACTGGGCACGCTGTGAGTTAATGGTCTATAAAGACAGTCTTGCCTAATCTCTTCTTCTAAGATTCAATGCATAAAAAATGAGACCAGCTTAAGGCTTAAGCCTAAAAGTTTTAGGAAAATTTGGACTGGTTTTTTGACATTAAACTGTAATTACCAGATAAGGTTTTCCAAGTGTTTGGAAGCTCTGGCGAACGGGAACTTTGATAAATCTTATTCTCTCCACTCATTACATTCCAAGAAAGTACACACTGTTAAAGACTTTGTTTTCCTTCCAGTGGGTCTGGGTAATCTGCAGCTGCACTCAATGGGAATCAAGCCTGTAAACATCATATTAAACTTGGCCCACACTGTAGTTAAAACCCAGGTGCGCTCTCATTTTGACTTTGATCAGTTCGGTTTCATTAAGTGATGAATCGGTACATGTTCCTAAATGTACTGGTACCTCAAAATAAGATATGCATGCTGCTGGTAAGGATGATGTACTGTATACAGTACGAGACACTATAAATGCACTCTATCAGTTGATGCATTACTCTTGAATGTAGGTCAGTGCAGAGAGAAAGAGAGAGAGAGAGAGAGGGGCAACTTTTAACTAGCTTTGAGTTCTTTCAGGGATTTACAGGATAAACTATTATTTACTAAAGAAAGATTAAAAATGAAAATTAAGACCAAAACAAGGCATCTGTGGCTCAAGTGGAGCATTATAGTGAAAACACAGGTTACCCCAATCAGGCATCCAAGGGGGAGAAGAGTTCAAAGACATTAATTATTTTGTCTTGTACTCGGAAATGAGTGCAAAGTATGAAAACCTATGACCAGAAGTAACAAACTACTTTCCTATTACATTGTGAATCAACTCACATATTTGGTGATCAAATATTTTAAGGAGCACAGCGCCGACTTTTCACATGAAACACGAGTGTGAACAGACGGACTATGAAAACATTTACCATAGTTATGATTTCTTTCATAGGTCTAAATGAGTAATGTTGTGCTTTTTTTAAGGCCAAAGCTTTTATTATTTCTGCATGGACAATTTAGCATAGATTATAAAATGGAAACATGAGTTTTGAAAGAAGCAAACTTCACACCTCCACTGTGGCTGTGGATCAGGAGGTAGAGCAGGATGGTTGGTGGTACAGTGTGCGTACCTTGGGTGTGGGCCAAATACTGAGCCCTGAGTTTCTCCCAGTGAATTCATTAGAGTATCTATGTTAGATAGAAAGTACTTAGATGTAGAATAAAGTGTTTGTATGTGCCTATGTGCCCATGCATGTAAATGGGCACATAAGCACTTTGAGAGCTTGTGAACAGCAGAAAAGCACTATATAAGAAGCAGTCTTTTTTTTAATGGCATTGTGGGAAATGTTATTGCTGCTTAATCCAAACTGGGAACCTCTCCTCCTCATTGGAATGGCCTTTAAAAGAAATCCTGTTTAAAAAGACATTTATAGAACTGAAAGAGATGCATTCAGAATACAATCGGCTCATCATTTTCCATTTCACTTCACTGGAGTCAACAATTTGATCGTCCCATGTAAGGTTTTATAAGAATAACTCAATTGATTCTGTCCAATCTAACCAGAGATCTCTTTGAACACAGTCCCAGAACTACAAAGAGGAGTTGTGGAAGTTGGCTAAATCAGCTTTTACTCCAAGGTCAGGGCTGACCTGGAGAAATTACCGTAAACGCACACTCATCCCTACGTTTCGTGACTCGAAGCCTCACAGGAGCTCCTTTGGTTCCAAGATCCAGTTTCATGCTGTTCATCACTTGTTGCTGTAAGGGAGCGTTGTGCATGTGCGTCCTGCCCATATGTGTTGAAAGGCTGGGATGTTTGTCTCCCAGTTTTTCATCTCTGAGCACATTGTCATGTGATCAACTTTCAAATATCAGCTTGATCGGTTGCTGTGCCTCACCTGGTTTTCATTAGCCACAAACAGTTGCAGAATTCTCGAAACTTTAAGTGCAAAATTTGCCAACATTGAACTCATTTCTGTTGCTTATGCAGAGTTCATTTCTCCCTCCTATTTATGTCGTGCCACTTTCATGACTAACAGGATCCATGGAGGGAAAACAGTCGCCGGGGCTATTTGGCTCTTGGCCTCCAAATTGCTATTTATAGTGAGTTTCCACTTTTTTTTTCTGTGGTGTCAAGCAGAGGAAAAATGACAGAAGAAATGAGCCAGCTGAGTCAGTGTGAGCCTGGTTCTCATTTGTGCTGACCTTGTGTTACAGGACTCCCTCACTAGTGTCACTCACACTTCACACTGCAGGAAAAAGGAGGGTGAAGTAGAGGGGAGGAGAGGGCGCTGTGGACATGGCAAGGGAGACTGTCCAAAAAACAAAAAACCTCACAGTACCTGTTTGGTCATAAAAACCAAATGAAAGTTTGTGTTCCAGAGTCAGAATAACAAGCCAGCGATTGAACTCTGCTACTCTGTTAATTAGCAAGAAATTACAAGGATTGAAGGGAATAATTCCACAGAGACTGGGGTTCAGTTCAAGCCTTTCTAAATACATTTTTGAGTGAGTGTTTAATGCACGTTGTTTGTACATTGTTAAAATTGCAGCAATAATTAATTTTAAATGCTGAAAAAATAAACTCTTCTCTAGATTGCAGTGTAGAGCAATCAGTCTGTAAAGTATAAAGTATGAAAAATACAATGAGCTTCTGAGAAATAAAGCTCATTTCACCCCAACTCCTGAACTAAATGTTTCCTTGTGAGAGTGTGCAGGTGTCAAACATTCTGGTGAGGGTCCAAACATTTCCTTTATGGTCAGTAATTCAATCTGTTGGCTTTCAAAAGACTGAAAGCACCTTGAGCAAGGCATAATACATGAACTATGCCAAGCTGTTCCAGGAAATCTTTGCAAATGTCTGTTACATTTATGTGACAATACAACCTAACAGTCTATTTTTTTTTCCTCGTATGATGTGTGAGCTTTAAAAAAATGTATTTGCATGTTCACTGATTCCAGAAACACTTTCACACATTTCTAAACAAGGAACGAGGCAAGAGTAGATCTCAGTTATGGGAAGATTTCCATTCAAGCCAAGTTTAACAATCTCCATAGTCAACCTGGAAAAAACAAAACAAAAAAACAAGACCGCATTGTTTAAACAGCACTTTTTTTTGTTTGTTTTTTTTACAGTTTATGCAATTTTAATTTTACTGTTCTCGTGATTAAAGCACGAGAGTAGTAACAGTGTGTTTTAGTGCCTCATAGAAAGTGTTTTATAGCCATAAAGTGTCATAAAGTGTAGTCATAAAGACAGCAAATTGACCATTTCCATCACATATCTGTACCAAGTTAAAGTTTGCCAGCATGAGCCATCAAAGCTGAACCAATCAAATCCCTTCTTTACTTCAACAAAGATGTTTTTTCATATCAAAGGTTTCAGATGTCAAGTTTACCTTTAAGTAGGAAAACTAACATATTAAGCATTTAAAATTTGGCAGACACAGTTGAAGTTAAGCAGGACAGCGTGGTGGTGCAGTAATCAGCACTGTTGCCGCACAAAAAAAAGGGTCCAGGGTTTTAATCAATCAGCTGGCTGGGGCTGTGCACTGGTTCTCTTTTTGCACTTTGGCTTCCTCCCACAGTCTAAAGATATGCATGGGGTTAGGTGACTTTAAATTGGTTGTACATATGGATGGATATTTAAATGCAACATTACAGTATACAGTAACATACTGCAAAACCCTCAATGAGCTTATTAGATTTTGACCATTTCTTATGCATGACTGCAAGACTTCCTAGTAATGATATAATACACCGAAATAAATTTGCTATTTCAAACCATTCTCCCTTTTTATATTTTGCTAATAACCATCCTTTTAATAATTTTTTAACTGGTAGCATTTTGACTTACGTTTCACAAATTTCCCTGTGGTTTTCCCACCTGAGGTGTGATGCAAGCTGAATGAGACACTCACCAGACAGCAGAAGGTCAGAATACAC